TAAATCGTTGTAATCTTAATTAACCCCTACACACACATCGAAACACACACTCACAACTAACAGTACTATCAACAAACGAATCAGTACAAAAATACCCTCCACTACACTAATGCCACCTTTACTGCCTTATTTACCATTGAATGTATGCTTAAGATTACCGCTTTTGGCTGTAAGGTAAGTGCTGCTCGTCGTCGCCGTCGGCGGAGATTGTTTGTTTGAAGAAGACGATGATGATGATGATGAAAAGTGCTGTTCGGGAGAGCGAGTGAACGGAACTGAGTGCGCCCCACTTACAGAACACAAACACACACCCAAACACACACACACACACACACATGCTAAACTTTTCCTATGAAAAGGTGCTACATTTGCCGATTGCTCACTGACTGCCTCTTCTCTCGGTGAANATGATGATGAAAAGTGCTGTTCGGGAGAGCGAGTGAACGGAACTGAGTGCGCCCCACTTACAGAACACAAACACACACCCAAACACACACACATGCTAAACTTTTCCTATGAAAAGGTGCTACATTTGCCGATTGCTCACTGACTGCCTCTTCTTTCGGTGACCGTCTCTCTACTTTGCATGATCTTTGAGTACCTCTTTTCGTTCTCTCTTCTTTTCTCATCTCTTGAGAGTTAATCTTGTTGCCAATTGCTATCGAAAGCAGACACTTTCTCCTCTTCTTTTATCTCTTTTTCTACCTGTGCATATTGCCAAAGAGCTCTGCTGCCAGAGTGAAAACCTCTTGTGCTCGAGTTTACCTGCATTACTGGATTGTGTGGATGTTGATGATTCCTGAAACTCGATGCACTTTCTCATCTTATTTTGTTATGCGCTAAACTTTTGATCATTTTTCTTCCCTTTTATTTCCCTTTAAGTTAGGTGTAACCTTTTTAAATCTATTCTGACATTAACCGTTTACCTTTACTCTTTAACCACTTTGTTTTTCCACTCTCGACCTTTCTTCGACCTGGAAACACACTTGATGATGATAACCTTTATCCTTTGACCCCAACAACAAACGACTCACACACAAACACAGTACCACCAAGCAGGCGTAGACTACACTGATGCACTGACGTACACCAATGAGATATTCACGACGCTCTTCCTCCTCGAGTGTCTCCTTAAGATGACCGCTCTCGGGTGTAAAGTGAGTAGTGCGAGTGAGAGAGGGAATCAGTTTGAGTTCAGTTATTTTTTGCAGCCATTTTTCCCACAGAGTAAGGCAGTTTTTTAAGAGGTTTTTATTATGAAAATTGTGTATGAGCGTGTGTGTGTGTGTGTCAGTATTTGCCATTCTTTTGCCATTTAACTTTTTTTTCACTGCCTCTAACTGACTTTTGTGTTTGTCCAATACCACCACCACCACTTTTACACCAAAACACACTTTTCCCCACTACACAAAACCTACGCTACGCACAACAACAGAACTTCTTTAAGGACTCCTGGAACACATTCGACTTTATCACCGTCTGTGGCAGTGTAGTCGACGCACTGGTCATGGAGATCACCCTCAGTGCGGTCAACAGCAAGGTAAGGGGGATCTCTACATTGATTGACGACTTGTTGGCTTACCAATGTACAATAATCACCTTCTGTCTTTTCTCTGCACAGGAGTTCAACTTTATCTCCGTCGGCTTTTTGAGGCTCTTTCGTGCGGCCCGACTGATCAAGCTCCTTCGGCAGGGGTACACCATTCGCATCCTCCTCTGGACCTTCATACAGTCCTTCAAGGCGCTGCCCTACGTCTGTCTGCTCATTGCTATGCTCTTCTTCATCTACGCCATCATTGGCATGCAGGTAAGTGGATCGCTCAGCGGCTGCTGACAGACATTTGCATGTGTTTGCTGATTAATTTTATGTGTGATGCTGAATGCGCTGATGATTGCCGCCTGCCTGTTTGCTCGCGCGCGTTTGCCTGTCACAGCTGCTGCTGCTGCTGCTGCGAATGCTTCAAAAGGTGTTTGCTATTTTGTATACTCTAGAGCTGCAAATTACTCATTTATGTAGTGGTTTTGTTATTATTTTTTTTCACTACCTCTATCACCACCGCCAACTTCTCACCTTACACTTTACTTTACTTTACATTACTTTGCACTGTGCTTGCCCTCTTCTTTTCAGTTATATTTATTCTTTTTGTCATGTTTATGTAGTGGCGACTTTTTAATTTACTTTCAGTTTCCAGTTTACTCTTAACCTTTTAGTTGCGCAGTTTTCATTTTGTTTATCTAGTAGAACTTTTTTACCTTTCATCATATAGATAGGCATTAGTGGTAATTAGTTTAGTTAGTGAGAGAGTAACAGAGTTTTCTTGGCTTTAGATTTAGAAAAACTGCAAATTAAAAACAGTACTCTAGAATTTTGTCTAGGAGAGACAGCCTTTTGTCGTTTATTTATTCTAGCGAGTAACCAGTAGATTCACTTTACACCATCACTTCTCACCACTAATGCTCACCTTTTCCACCATCTTTCTCTCTTTCTCTTTCATCACACTATCTATTTTTCTCTTGTGTGCTATCGCTTTCCATACTTGATGACACACACACACACACCATCACCACCACTTACACCCACACACAAACTTCTTTTCACTCAATTCAAATTTAAATCCACGATCACCGCAAATTCCGCTTCTTGTGCGTGTGTGTGTCTCTATCTCTCTGTCTGTCTGCGCGTCTGCCTGCTTTTGCCGCCGCTGCTGCTGCCGCTGCTATGTCCCTTGTCCACTGAAAATCGCCTTGTGTGTGTGCGTGTGTGTTGAACTGCCAAACCAAACTGCTGCTGCTGCTACTGCTGCCATGTGCTGTTCAGGTGTTTGGCAACTTGGACATAACGGCAAGTCAGGACATATCACGGCACACCAACTTTCGCACCTTTTCGCAGTCGCTTATATTGCTCTTTAGGTGAGTCGTTTTTAGCAGGGGTAGTTGAAAAGGGGAAAGGTGTGCTCTCAGTACGAGGCCACTTTATCTCTCTTTTCAATAATCTGTTCCGAACACACAACACATCTACCACTTACTCACACTTAAAAGTCACTCACTGTCGTTGTCGCACCACACTTTCACCTCGAAAAGCTCACATCACCGTAGAGCACAGCGTCACAATCACACAGTTTGTTCTATCTTTCATCTATCTCTCTATCTCACCAAAGATGCACCCATCACCACTACCACCACTGTTGTTTTTTTCTCTTTGCTGCCTCCGCTGCTGCTGCTGCTGCTGCTGCTTTTGCTGCCGTGTGCTGTTGTCTTTGCGGTGTTATGGGAGCATTGAGAANCATCTATCTCTCTATCTCACCAAAGATGCACCCATCACCACTACCACCACTGTTTTTTTCTCTTTGCTGCCTCCGCTGCTGCTGCTGCTTTTGCTGCCGTGTGCTGTTGTCTTTGCAGTGTTATGGGAGCATTGAGAGGGAGCTCACGCGATTTGCCGCTGCTGCTGTCTTTTGTTTGTTTTCCTAAATCGCTTATTTGTTAACTACAAAAGCTGTTTCAAATGGTTACTGTAACTGCTGTTTTCCCCCACTCCTCTCCTTTTCTTTGTTCAACATCACCTTTATCATGGTCACCAGGTGTTTGGAAACATTGCCAACGTGCCGGAGATCAATCCCGGGTCTGCCATTAACCGGCACAACAATTTCCGTACCTTTATACAGGGGCTGATGTTGCTCTTCAGGCAAGTGCCAATGATGTGCTGTCAGTTTTGCGGCTGACAACTGAAGTTAGCAAGCTTGCCAACCTTAAGCGACCACGACTGCTACGATTTCCACACCACAGTTTACAAACACACACAACTACCACAAATCTACTTTTTTTCGCTGCAAAACCGTTAGACTTTTTGTACTAACAATTTTTCTCATTTCATCAGGTGTGCCACGGGCGAGTCCTGGCAGGCGATCATGATGTCCTGCCTGGGTGGGAAAAAGTGCGACCCCAAGTCGAAGCAGGAAAATCCGAACAGCTGTGGCTCTGACCTTGCCTTCTACTACTTTGTCACCTTCATCTTCCTCTGCTCCTTCTTGGTAAGCAGACGCCCTATTTCTTCTAACACTCATTTCTACAAAAAAATATATATCATTTTTTCACCCACAGATGTTGAATCTGTTCGTCGCCGTCATCATGGACAACTTTGACTACCTGACGCGAGACAGCTCCATCCTCGGCGCCCACCACCTGGACGAGTACATTCGCGTGTGGGCGGAGTACGACCCAAATGCCACCGGGTACATTCACTACTCGGAGATGTACGACATGCTGCGCAACATGGACCCGCCGCTCGGCTTCGGCAACAAGTGCCCCTACCGGCTCGCCTACAAGAAGCTGATTCGCATGAACATGCCCGTCACCGAGGAGGGCAAGGTGAACTTCACCACCACGCTCTTTGCCCTCATTCGCGAGAACCTCAGCATCAAGATGCGCCCCGCCGAGGAGATGGACCAGGCGGACAAGGAGCTGCGGCACACGCTGACGAAGCTGTGGCCGCTGCAGGCGAAGAAGATTATCGACAAGTTGATTCCGCCCAATTTAGGTATTCTCATTGAGAGAGAGAGAAGGGGAATTTTTTGACTGTTTCTAACTTGTTTCATCTGCAGAGCTTCGCAATGGCCGCCTGACGGTGGGTAAAATCTACGCCGGCTTTCTCATTCTGGAGAACTGGAAGACGACCCGTTTTGGCCAGATTCCCGGTGTCGGCCTTTCGGTATGTCCATTCGCCAATTGTCCAGGTTTTCTCCTCCTTCCTTCTTTCCTTCCATCTTTTTCTCTCCTACCCTCTCTCCAACTTCTTTTTTCTTCCCTTGCTCATTCATTCGTTTTCTAAATCTAAACAAAACCACGCAAAATGGGTTGCCTGGTGTAAGAGTACTGTGTGTTAGCAGGGTAGTGTAATATCTCCCCCTATCCGCTGATCCCTCTGCAACCTCAGCTGCTGCTCGTTCTTTTTAACATCATGCTCTACTTTTTTTTTATCAGCGTCATCCCTTCTTTTTTTCTAGTTGCGCATTACAAATTGAGTAGTTTTTTATTTGCTGTTCTAGTACCTTTTTTTTCCTTTGCTAGCCTTCTTTTTTTTGCGTTTCTCCCTCCTACATTCTCCTACTGCGCGATCTTTCTCTCCTCTGCGAATGCGTTGAATCTGTTGAATGCATTGAACTGCTGCTAAATGCTGTCCCACTCTCCTGTTTTGCTTAAGTTGTCCCAGCTGTCTCTCGCTCTCCTCTTTACCCCCTTTTCATTCCTCATCATCTTCATCGATTTTTCTATCATTATCAAAAATGGGTTAATTACTAAGCCAGAGTCACTTGACACACAGTGAGCAGCTAAGATTATTTTAGTCAGTGAACAGTCTTTTTTTCTTTTTCAACAAATCTTCTAAATAACTCGTCAACTAATGATATGACAACAACTGTCACAAAACCTC